TCCAGTTATCAAAAATAATCGGAATAAAATATATTCTTATCCCTGCATATAAATAGAAATATTAAAAGGCATTATCAGAAATAATGGATGCACTGAGATATTTTCTGGCTGAGAAGAAAAGAATGTTCTTTTAGGGGATGGAGCTGCAGGAAAGTTAAAATCTGTCTGTTATAATCAGTTCATATCAAGTGTATTGATGCAGAAGAAAACTCAATGAGCAATGGACGTACCTTCTTCCCTCACCTACTCTGCTTCAAATCCAGGGTGTTTGAAAGGAGTCATGGGAAAAGGCATCCTTGGATATTATAGCAATGCTCCGGCAGCATTGCTTGCGTAATGGGACTTAGATACTGAACGCCCTGTAGTGAGGGGACGTTGTTATCTTCTGGGATTCTAGAAATCATTGCAATTTTGATTAATATTGAAAGCTTTTTAAAACAAGGGAGAAAGAGGCGGGGGCGAAGCCAAATCAAACCATCTGAGGAACAGAAAGCTTCTGTGGTGAGTCACTGAGCTATGAGACAGCAAGCTGAGCTATCACAATACGACGCAAGAAAGGTCACGTACTTGATTTTTTGGGGAATAAGAGTGTAACTCATTCATTAAAAAATTGAATGCATGAGGCACTTTAGACTGAGCTCACGGTGAGAGATTTTGCTCCCTACCCACTTCCTGATTCAGTGGCATAAGGAATACGAGCGTTTTAAAGTCTACTAGGAAAACTGTGAAATAGAATCTCAGACTTAAGAGATGCTGAACATCTCATAATTTTTCAATGCAGCTTATAAGCAATTGAAATAATGGTTTGCATAGGACTCAGGGGTAAGCAACCTTGGCTCTTTTATGACTTGTGGACTTCATCTCCCAGAATTCCTGAGCCAGCATGGCTGGCTCAGGAATTCTGGGAATTGAAGTCCACGAGTCATAAAAGAGCCAAGGTTGCCTACCCCTGGCATAGGTCATGTGACCTATGGGGTGGGTGCTAGAGGTAGTCCTCGACCACAATTGACCCCAAAATTTCTATTGCTAAGTGAGATATTTGTTCAGTGAGTTTTGTCCCCTTTTTATGACCTTTATCGCCACGGTTGTTAAGTGAATCACCGCAGTTGATAAGTTAGTAATCTGGATGTTAAGCAAATCTGGCTTCCCCATTGACTTTTCTCGTCAGAAGGTTGCAAAAGATGACCACGTGACCTTGGGACACAGCAGTGGTCACAAGTATGAACCAGTTGCTAAGCATCTGAATTTTGATCCCATGATTTCGAGGATGATTCCAAGGTTGTAACTGTGAAAAATGGTCATAAGTCACTTTTTTTCAGTGCCACTGTAACTTTGAACAGTCACTAAATGAACTGTTGTAAGCCGAGGACTACCTGTACTGAGCATAGGTGGAAGCAGGGACCACAGGCAGGCTGGCAGGGTTGTGGACAGGTGCTACTGAGCACAGGTGGGCCAGCTGATGGGTGCTAGGGAATATGAGATCTCGTACGCCTTAGCATGGTGGAGGAGGAAGGATATAGTAATAATAATAATAATAATAATAATAATAATAATAATAATAATAATAATAATAATAATAATAATAATAATAATAATAAAGTTGGAAGGGACCTTGAAGGTCATCTAGTCCAATCCCCTGCTGAGGCAGGAAACCCTATACCATTTCGGACAAACGGCTGTCCAGTCTCTTCTTCAAAACTTCCAGTGCTGGAGCATTCACAGCTTCTGGAGGCAGGTTGTTCCACTGATTAATTGTTCTCACTGTCAGGAAGTTTCTCCTTAGTTTAGGTTGCTTCTCTCCTTGATTAGGTTCCATCCGTTGCTTCTTGTCCTGCCCTCAGGCGTTTGGAAAATAGCTTGACTCCCTCTTCTTTGTGGCAGCCCCTGAGATACTGAGATACTGGAACACTGCTATCAACAGTACGCTGCTGATACTCAGCTGTACATTTCCACCCCAGGCCACCCCAACGATGCCCTTGACGTGATGGCCCGCTGCCTGGAGGCCGTACGGGTCTGGATGGGGGGAAACAGACTCAGGCTCAACCCTTCCAAGACCGAGTGGCTGTGGTTTCCGGCGCCTCGGCATAGTCAGCTGACGCCATCGCTGACTATAGGGGGCGAAACCTTGNTCTACATGGGGCTCCCTTTGAGGAGCACCCGGAGGCTTCAAATGGTCCAGAATGCGGCCGCGCGGGTGGTGTTGGGAGGGACTCGTCGCTCCCATGTGACACCGCTGCTGCGCGAGCTGCACTGGTTGCCAGTGGCCTTCCGGGTGCGCTTTAAGGTGTTAGTTACCACCTTTAAAGCGCTTCATGGCATAGGACCCGGCTACCTCCGAGACCGCCTTCTGCCGCAGATTCCTTCCCACAGACCGGTACGCTCCTCAGGGTGCCGTCGGCCAAGCAATGCCGGCTGGCGACCCCCAGGGGGAGGGCCTTCTCTGTGGGTGCCCCCACCCTCTGGAACGAACTACCCCCCGAGATTCGGATAATTCCGGATCTCCTTACCTTCCGTCGCGCCCTCAAGACATGGCTCTTTCAGCAAGCGGACCTGACCTAGGGTGGATTTTATATTGGGGTTTTTAGGAATTCGAAAGACGCAACTTTAAATCTGGTTTAATTCGGTTTTAAGGGGGGGATTGTATATATGTTTTGGTTTTAAGTATGTTGTGCGCCGCCCTGAGTCCCGTCGGGAGAAGGGCGGCATATAAATTAAATTAAATAAATAAATAAATAAAATAAATCATGTCCCCCCTCGTCCTTCTCTTCATTAAACTAGACATACCCAATTCCAGCAACCGTTCCTTATATGTTTTAGCCTCCAGTCCCCTCATCATCTTTGTTGCTCTTCTCTGTACTCTTTCCAGAGTCTTCTAGAGTCTCAACATTTAGGGGAGTGACTTGCAATCTTCCCTGCTGGCTTCCCCATTGATGATCACATAACTGCTGTTTGCTGCAATGTTGTAATTGTGAGCCGTATAAAATCTTTACATGATCACATGACTGTGGGAATAGCACTTAGACTTATATACCGAATGCTCTAACAGCTGCAGATCGGTTGTAAGTCCTCCTCATTCAGCAACCTCATAACTTTGGTTGCCAAGCAAATGGTCATGCCTCAAGGACTACCTGTAGCAAGGGTTTTTTCGTCATATATCTTGATGGTTATTATCTACCCATCCTTATTTTAGATATTAATGCAAATGGGCAGAATCTGGGATCTTCTACAGGCAAATCGGTACTCTACGCCTGAACGATAGCTCCTGCTTGTTCAAAACCTTGTGCTGCATATAATCTGTTGACTTTTGTTGGCTTGTAGAAGAATCTACCCGGGCCTATTTTAAGCACATATTCTTTGTTTTCTTTTATATTTAATTCAAGCATGGAAATTTAATAACATCGCTGAATTATTATTGGATTAGTGCTTGGAACTGGGTGTGCTGCTGTGCTTTTTTATCTTTAGTTTTTGCATAAACAAGGTATAAGTAAGCTTGATACGTCTGAGGGCAAAAATAAAATCCCAATAATATTTCAAACAACTAAGGGACACATGTTAATGCTGCATAGAGTAAGATTTGTAGGTTTGTGACTGTATTAGCTAGTATAGCTGTGCAAATAACGTGGAAAGGTGGTTTCTGGCAGAATTGTCGTCTGTGCGTGCAAACAGAGACATGGGTTCCCTCAGTAGCGTTACAAATTATTCACATACTCCTATGTAGCTAGTCATATCTCAGCCGGTCTCGTTATGAAAGAATCATGCTAAGCAGTAGTAAACATCCAGGGGCAGCTCTGGAAAATGCTCCACATGTTTCAAAAAGCTGTATCTTATCATTTTCTGCAGTGCAAGGATTGTATGTTGGAAACTGATGTTCAACACGAAACAATTCTTTCCAAGTCCACAAGCCAATTTTAATTTCTACTCTGGCTCTTTGTTGTTTGGTAGCTTTCTTGTTCTCTTTGGAGGCCCTGAATCCTCCCTTTGCTGTGCATCCTGGTCATTGCCATCTAGGCAATTATACTGTCAGTCTTGCTCGCTAAATTAGGAATAGTCAGATTGCCAGAACTGGCTAGCTGAACATGCTTGTGCTGTGAACTTGGTTGTTGGTTGCACCTGAAGGACAGGAAGCAACGGATGGAAACTAATCAAAGCGAGAAGCAACCTAGAACTAAGGAGGAATTTCCTGATAATTAATCAGTGGAACAACTTGCCTCCAGAAGTTATGGGTGCTCCAACACTGGAGGTTTTTAAGAACCTTGTCTGAAATGGCATAGGGCAGTGATGGTGAACCTTTTAGAGACCGAGTGCCCAAACTGCAACCCAAAACCCACTTATGCATCGTCGGGTGCCGGGTGGGTGTGGCCCATTGGCTGAGTGTGGCCCATTGGGTGGGTGTGGCTGCGATGGTAACAGCAGACTGGTTGGGACTAAAAAGTTCAATCAATCAATTCCAACTTTGCAGATCTTTTTTTTCCCCGCAAGAAGTTGAAATTGACTGATTTTTTATTTCATAATTGATTGAACCTTTTTTTTTTTTTTGCACACGGCGGCAGAGGCATAAAGCAAAAAGGTTTTATAAAACCCAGCTGAAGGCCTAGGACTGGGGCGATGGCACATGTGCCCACAGAGAGCGCTCTGAGTGCCGCCTCTGGCACCCGTGCCACAGGTTCGCCACCACTGGCATAGGGTTTCCTGCTTGAGTAGAGAGTTGGATTTGAAGACCTCCAAGGTCCCTTCCAACTTGGCTATGCTGTTATTTTGTTTTCTTTTGCAAATATTCTCCTTCACTGATACTTGTGCTCGTAAACTGAAAAGATTTTTCCTATAGGAAAACAAAGGTTTGGTCTTGAAGATACCCTAACACTGGATTTAAAAGCTAACTTTGTATTTTCTTTACCATTGAACCAATATCATAGATATTAAATATATTAAGACAGCATTATAAATAAATCCAGTTTGGATGAAATATATTTATGCCATTGTTCTTTGAATTTCAGATATTTATGAGCCGCCATTTCTTATATTACTGCAGTGAGCCCACTCTGGATGTGAAGATTGCCTTTTGTCAGGTGTGTGTTCCTTACAGGTAAAACAAGGTACAGTATATACTTGTATTTACATATTTTGTGATCAGTATTTCGTATCAATCATATATGTGACTGCAAGTCTACAACAACCACCTCAATCTGTTTCATTCTAATATTAGTTATGTTGGCTGGAATTCATGGTGCTAAAACTTGGAAGTGACTGGGGCATAGGATTTAGCAGAATGTTTAAATCTCAGGGTAGGCCACTGCACAATGAGGATCCCGGTCACTTAGTGATAGTTTGAAATTACCTCTGCAAAAAAGATTGTAAAATCAGGCACAGTTATTTGGAGACCCGCTTAACAATCTACATGACTTACAACCATAATTCCATGCTCAACTATAGTCGTAAGTCAAAGACTATTTTTAGTAATATCCCATCTAAAAAGAATAAAACCATTAAAGCTAGAGGATGCTATCCAAGTATATGCATAGGCCTGGAAGGAATACAGTTAACTGTATATTTTCCATGTATAGTCATGCCCTCAATGAACATGCAGTTTTATACCAGACCTGCTGGAGGAAATTTCTCTCTCACTGACTTCAATTGGAAAAGGGAGATTTTAAAAGAAGTTCTCTGCTTCAGGTTTTGGTTAATAAAATAACTGCTATTATCTTAGCAATTCAAGTTTTTTTTAAAAAAAATTGAAAATTTTTAGATAAAAGATAAACATAAAAAAATGTAAAAGAAAATTAAAGAAAAAAGATTTTTAAAAATGAAGAAATCAGTAATAATAATAATAATAATAATAATATTATAATAACAACAACAACAACAACAATAATAATAATAATCATCATCATCATCATCATCATCATCATCATCTTTCTCGTCTATTCGGCAGTGCCTGGAGACACATATTCTACTTCCTTACTTCAAGTACCATTGTTGCATAAGTAGCATCTAGAAGTGCAAGCAAACTGATAATACTAGTAGTAGAGGACACCTCAGGCCTTGTTCTGAACCACGGCTACTGTGTGAAATACCTTGAATCTATATGATGGCACTGAAGTAAAATTCTAAAATTGCTATTTCTCCCAGTCAAAGAGCAAATGACCTCATTTCTTTGAAATGAGTTTGCAAGTGATACTAAATGCTGCAGGCAGAATGGTGAACACTTTAATTGAACGAAAAACCTGGTCCCAGTTCTGTTCAAAGTGTTCTGGCTCTTGGCTTGTTTGAGATTTTTTTTTTTTGAGCTTATAATTGACTGCTGGTAGAGTAGTTCAAGAATCACTTTCTTTGACATACAGCAAGTCTTTCTGCCCCATGCAAGTTTTAGAATTGTGTCTATTTCATGATTAGACATGTGGCTTGTGTCTATACCTAAAGCTGGTGCATACTTTGGATGGGCAAGTAGATCACTGAAGCATATGTGGATATCCATGTAGGAACACTCTGCAATTACAGTACCTAAACCAGTCTTTCTCAATCTTAGCCACTTTAAGCTAGGTGGGCTTCAACTCCCAGAATTCCCCAGCCAGCTTAAAGTGTTAGGGTTGAGAAACACTGACTTAAACCAAACATTTGTTTTCCTGAGATCATGTTATAACTGTAGAGGACAGCTGCTTGGTCCTGGGAAAAGATACAGCTGCTTTCAAAAGCTTATGACAGTTGCTACAAGAGCATTCCGTGCACTCTGAATCACCTTTTAGTTTTCAAATCCCATACAATAATATAAGTTGTAAATATATTTACAATAGAATTTATTTTAAATAGCACATAATGTGGCAATCCCAAATAACCTAAGTACTATTTAGTCATTAAATAAGGGGATTTTTCAAAATTAGTATCCCATATTTCTGGCACCTTTATATAACTCTCACCCAAGCAAAGTTGACACAAACAACCATATAATGATTGCCCTACAATAATTTCCTCTGCCAGCCTCTATGTAGGAGTTACCAGGGTTAATTCAGGGTCTCCTGTAGTTAGTTTTCCTTGAGAAACAATTTCCAATAAAATAAGTTAAATTAAGAGTATGACATTATTTAGTAAGGGAATTACTGATAGTAATGGGATTAAATTTTCTTGACATTCTCTTAAATTCCAATGCACAAAGGCATCCGAATAAAAGCGCTCATTATTTCAGTGTTTTTTCTCCCCTCCAATCAACTAGAGAAAGGTTGGTTTGGCCTTGTTATTCTATTTCTATTCTGTTAACATGGAACAATCTCACATAATGTTGCACATAAAATGCATTAAATTGCCAGGATGCTTTTGGTCATTTCATGTTCTTTGTAATCCATTCCATCATCACCATCTTATTGGTTTTGAAGTGACTGAGTCCATTGCCAGAGAATTGTGGTTATAAGGCTTAAATTCATTTCCAAACTTCATAATGTCGATTTTAACATTTGCTGACTAAAAATAACAGCTGCCTGAAGTGTAATTGAATATAAATATCAGTGAACTTTGGAAAGATCTTAGGCTAAGAATGTATGTTTAAAAAAGCATAACCCTACCTTTGATATTAGAAATGTCTTTTTCAAAGAGATGCTTCTAGCCAATTTTTTTTATCATACAGTATTTTGATTAAAATCTGATAGTACCACCAAGGGCCAGATAAAATTGTTGTATCCAAAGACTGTCAGTTGACAATTGCTCTGTTAGTGCACTAATAACACATTTTTCAGGTTTAGAAATATTGTTTTGTATATTTCACCATCTGGATATTCCATCAGTCCTTTGCATCTAGTATTTTTCCCTTAATGCTTGTTTAAAACCAGAACTTAGTCAATATTTAAATTTAATATGTGGAAGTATAATTTGGGAAAGAAACAGAAACAGTTACCCATCTGATAAAGAGAGTGCTTGCCATCTGCTTTAGGAAACTTTTCTGTTTGCACAGGATTTCAGTGCCCTGCCGTTAGTCTTGCACATTAAGTGGAAAGATAAGGCACAATTATATGAGATCAGGTATTTTAGCTAACTAGTGAGCCAACTAAGCACCAGAGGGCAGGATAAGAAACAATGATTGGAAACTGATCAAAGAGAGAAGTAACTTGGAATTAAGGAGAAAGTTCCTAATAGTGAGGACAATTAACAAGTGGAACAGCTTGCCTTCAGAAATCATGGGCGCTTCATCACTGGAGGTTTTTAAGAAGAGATTGGACAGTTACTTGTCTGAGATGGTATAGGTTCTCCTGCTTGAGCAGGGGACTAGACTAGAAAACCTCCAAGGTCCCTTTCTATTCTATTCTATTCTATTCTATTCTATTCTATTCTATTCTATTCTATTCTATTCTATTCTATTCTATTCTATTCTTGACTTGTAGTGGTGCTTCAAGTTCTTCAGTCAAATATATATTTTGTCTACTATTTCTTCGTTGTTGGACTGCCAAGGATTAAACCACTCCACTCCAAATTCTTTACTGAGTTTTAATATTTAAAACAGCATTAAGGACAGTTTTGTGACTAGATTGCAAGGTTTGTGAAAATATTAAAAGAATTTAAACAGTAAACATCATACATCATAAAACATTCAAACGCATTAATAGCAAGGAAAAATATGAAAATAAAAATATATAAACGTTAAGACTCATTATAGGAAATGTTTTATTATTGCAAAGAACTCAAGCAAGTCTCATTTTAAGTATTTTCTTAAGTAACAGCCATGCTGACACTGTATCAATGTATCACCCACCAATTCTTTGCTATCAAAATGGAAAATAGTTCAAAGAAATGGATCAGCTTCTAGAACCGTGTTTCTCAACCTTGACAATTTTAAGGCATGTGGACTTCAACTCCCAGAATTCCACAGCCAGCATTGTCAAGGTTGAGAAACACTGTTCTAGAACCATGTTTCAAGCCATTAATAATTAAAGTATTTCCATTTCCCTTCTCAAAATCAGTTTCTTTCGGTTTATGGTTTTGCTTGAAAATATACCACAGAGTAGGTTATGATGGCAATGATCTGTCTGCACAATATTTTTAATTATAAAAACTCAAAACTGAGGCATCCATTCAAGCAGAAAGCTTCAACCACAGTTTATTAGGAATCACAAAGTGAACCAAAAATTCAAGATATTGATGAACTGCATGCTGTTCATTTCTGGACTGTCGATACCAATGAAATTATTATTACTATAAGTAGTAGTAAATCTGAAAGCCAACGTATAATAGAATGCTAAGCTTAGCATTACATGATAATTAGTTAAGTCATCATAAAATAAAATTGTGCAGCATAGTTCATATATAATGACCAAAAACACAGCATGGAATTTTGCTGAAACCAGAAAAACTGATGAGTTCAGTGTTTTTGTTTTTACTCTCAGTTAACATGAATGTTTGGAACTGACACATTTAGAATAGCACACCTCCTTTTCTCATTTATATTATACTGTGTATTGTGCTTAGTTGTGTCGGAAGACAAAGGCTAATAATGAATTATTGACTCTGGCTTGCAACAGAGTATTGAACTAGATTAGGGACCATGACTCCTGGGTTTATTCAAGAACCTCTATTTTTTTTCTGATTTACCTGCAAAATAATTATCTTTGAAATAACCTGGGATAAAACTTTGTTCCCATAATATATGTAGTGTAATCCAGCCAGCGTGTGGTCAAGTCTTGCTGGTAATTCTGGCCAATCATGCCATAAATGCATTGGGGAATTAATTTATTTTAATAAATGGATATGGTTGCCTATCTTACATAGATCATTGTAAATAACAAAAAGTGTATTTAAAAAATGTTGAAAATTAAATCTCACCTTTTATAGATGAGACCCAAAGCAAGCTCACTTTGTCAGATTTGCTGGGACCTGTAGAAACGTTTGGCCCTCTTCCATATAGGTTTATAAAATGGTAACCAGAACATTGAATTGTACCCAGAAGCCTGCTGGGTTACAGTAATGTAACTCAAATAAACCTTGTGCTTCAAAAACGGGCACTGATGCATTCGGGATTAGCTGATATTTCCAAGTACCTTCACATGCAGGCCCATGTACAGCATTGTAGCAATCCAATTGGGAAGTGTCT